CTCTCACGAGAGTTTGCACAGATGCTGGTGAGGGACTGGTAGGCCAGTCCACTGTGGCAGGAGGGGTGACAAGGTAGGGGGCTCCTGCAGGACACCCCAAGTCCCACTCCATAGGCTCCAGTCCACCTTTAGGCAGGGGCCCCCAAGGGTCTGTAGGGCCCGGCCCAGGGGGTCCCATGCATCCTCTCATCCCATTGGCTGACTGCACCGGCATGCAAATGAGGGCTTGCGTCACTTCCGGAGGCAAATCGAGCGCCATTTTCTCTTTCTGGCCGAGCTGGGAGGAGGGGACAGGGTCGCGCGGGGGTGGGCGCGCGCCGAGGCGGGGGTCCCGCCGCGCGGGGCGGAGGCGGGCGCGGGCCCCGGCGGGGCGGGGCGCGGCGAGAGGCGGCGGGGGACGCGGCGGCGCTCCGGTCGCCCAGCGGTAGGTACGCCCCCGGCCCTGCCCCGCGACGACGCCCCCGGCCTGGCCCGCGAAGTCCCGGCGGCGGCCCCGCCCCGCCCCGCCCACACCCGCGGCCGCCTCACGAATCCCGCGGCGTTCTGCGGGCGGCGGGTTCGCGGCCCGAACGGGGCCGGTCGCCCCTCCGCGTCACGTGGGGCCGGGTGGTCGCCGCGGGGCGGGGGCGGGGCCGGAGCGGGGGCCGGAGCGGGGGCCGGGCCGGGGCTGGGGACCGTGGGCGGGGGCGGGACTGGGGTGGCGGAGAAGGGACGCGGTCGGGGAGCCGGCCCGCGGTAGGGGTAGGATGAGGGCGGCCCCGGCAGGGTGCGCCCCGCGCCCGGTCCTCCCCAGCCCGTCCTGGGAGCAGCCCTGAGTGACCGCGAACGTGGGCCGCGAAGACGCGGGCGCTGCTCGGCCTGCCCTGCGGAGCCTGCCCGGAGGAGAGGGCGCCGAGCGGCGGCCGGGCGAACCCCTGCGCCTTCGCCCTTGAGCGCTCGATGGCAGTGATGGTTCGCGTGCAGGTGTTAACAGTGAAATCTTCGCTTCTCCCGCGCCAGGCCGGCTGCGTGGACGCGGGCTGTTTGCAGAAGCGGCTGCGTCTGGCTTGGGGGTGTCAGGAATTGTAACCGCCGGTTCGGATGGGGCGCGCGCCGAGTTGGTGGTGATGAAATAGTTCAGGTGTTTGTCTTTGCATTTGAACGAGAGTCCTGCCCGAATGCTGGCGCCACTCGCTGTAGAGAGAAGGGACCAGGACTTACCGAATAGGTAGGCTCGGAGCCTGGGTAGGCGTTGGTGTGGGGAGCGCGTGTGGGAGCGAGCACCCCACGTGAGAACAGCGTCGGAAGGGGTGCGTGCTCCTCTCTGGTTGGAGTCGAGTGGTGCAGTGGGACTTAGAGCTGCTCCTGGAGAGGGGGTGCGCGAACTTGGGTGTTTCGGGAAGTGGGGACTTTGTGGGGCCCTGTAAGCGTGGGAGACAGGTCGGTGAGAGAGAGGGAGCCGGAGCTTCTTCGGGGATAGGCAGGCTGGGGGGGCACACGTTCCGTTGTGTGACTGGGGGGTGGTAAGTGTGAGGGCTGGAGTTAGGGTTACGACGGATGATGATCGCTTATGGGGACGTGCCAAGAGTTCTCGCTGATGAGTTCCTGGGATGCCTCTAATGTGAACCCAGGTTCGCAACATGCTGTTGGTGAATTTATGGTTGTAGTTCACTTTCAGGATCTAAGCCCCCAGCATTCTGCGTGCCCTGCGCTCTGCTGTCACACCCGCCAGGGCAGCAGGCTTGGTGCGAGGAAGCGGGAAGGCTGCTGGCCTGCTGAGGGCCACACTTCTGGCAAGGGATCGGCCTGTGTTTGAACCCAGACCTTCTTTCTAAAGCTTGCTTTCATGGTGGCACAGAAATTATAGTGATTTAATTAATTAATTAATTAATTTATTTATTTATAAAGCCCCATATTCCAATGTTTGGGACATTTAATTTCGATTTTTGGAATTAAATCCATAGCAAACTCAGTGCCCATGCCCTAAGTGCTTTTTTTGTGTCCATTCATCCTCACAACTGCTTCATGGAGTAGGTTGTGTGCGCCCGTTTCACAGGTAGGCAGCTGAGGCCCAGGGGTTAAGTAATTTGCCGAAGATTGCACAGCTAGTAAACTGGAGGTGATTTGAATCCAGGCATTGTGGCTCCAGAATCCTTGCTGGTGAGATCATTGTGCTGTATTTCCTCTCAAGCGAAATTCTTTTATTATTTTATTTTTTTAAATCCTCACCCAAGGATATTTTTCTAGTTATTTTCAGACAGAGTGGGAGGGAGGGTGAGAGAGAAACAAACATCGATGTTTGAGAGACATCTGTTGGTTGCCTCACACAAGACCCTGACCAAGGCTGGGGACTGAACTGCAACCAGGGCACATGACCATGACCAGAATCAAACCTGAAACTCTTTGGTCTGTGAGCCGACGCTCCAACCCCAGCCAAACCAGCCAGGGTTCGAGTGAAATTCTTTTTTTTTTTTGTTCAGGTAGAGTGGGAGGGAGAGAGAGGAAGAGAGAGAGAGAGAAACATCGACGTGAAAGGGACGCATCAAGTGGCTGCCACCCACATGACCAACCGGGACAAACTGCAACCAAGGTATATGCCCTTAGCAGGAACTGAACCCGGGTCTCTCTGGACTGCAGGCCAACTCTAACCGCTGAGCCAAACCGGCCAGGGCATCGAGTGAAATTCTTTTAGATGTTAGATTTCATAGGAACTTAAAAGAAAGTTCTGTGGCTCAAAAGGTATTAATTACGTGATTGACTCTATGTTTTTTCCATAATGGAATAATCTTAAATGGTCATGATACTAAACAACAAAGGAAAACCCTTTAAGTTCCCCCCTGGGAAATAACATTTTCTTGTACACGTTAGTGGACTTTTTGGTAGGTCCTGGTCTATCCCACCCTATGAAGTTAAAAGTGATTTACTGTGAACTGAGGTTGATGATTAGTGTGGCTGCAGTAGCCTGCTGTTTCCTAATGTACATTTTTTACACATATACAGATTTAACCGAGTGCTAAGGATATATGGAGAACAGCATATTAGAGGATCTATAAATATGAAAACATTAAACAGTTTCTTTCCTGGTTAATACACTGGACATTTTGTATGGAATCTTGTATCTTGAAATGGATAAAGTATGGTCTTTTAGAATGGAAAAATTATGGTAAAACCCAGCTTTTTTTTTTTTTCCCAAAGTGATTGGCAGCAGTAGACAAGGGCTCTTGAAAGGTTATGAGATTTATAATCTACCTACGTTTTAATTTTTGTTATCTTTAAACAGTAAGCATACTGCTAAAAAGGGAAACTTTTTTTTTTTAATGCTTGTTTTGGGAGAATCACAATAACAATGATGAGGGAATGGGGGCAGTTAACATTTGAGAATAAACCAGCAGTTCTCAATCTGTGGGTGGAGACCCCTTTCGGGGTCGAATGACCCTTTCACAGGGGTCGCCTAAGACCATCGGAAAACACATATTTCCGATGGCGATTCATAACAGTAGCAAAATTACAGTTATGAAATAGCAATGAAAATAATTTCATGGTTGGGGGTCACCACAACATGAGGAACTGTATTAAAGGGTCGCAGCATTAGGAAGGTTGAGAACCACTGGAATAAACATTTCCCATTCTCCAAATTTAAGAGAAGACTGACAGTTGTTTGGCTCTGTTCCTAAGCCTTGAACAGGTAACATAGGGCCTGTTTAAAACTTGCCCAATCACAGCTTCATTTCAGTCTCCTCCTCCTGAGTTAGCCATTCTGTAGCAGCCTTCAGGAACCAACCTAAAAAATCAGCCAGTCCCCCAGCTGCCGCTTGAAAAGCACCAATCCTTGTTTTCCGTCCTTCTCAAAACCCTGTAGTAAGATCAGCACTTGCTAGGTAAGGCCATACTTATTTGCAAACAATAAACTTGGCTTCCTTAGGATAGAGAGGGTTGTGGAACTTTAAGGAGGAAATGAAAGCAAGTCTGATTGAGTGGAAAGCATCTGACAGGAATTTTTGTTGAGCCCAGCTCTGGTAGGAAGTGACCTTGTACGTACCTTTTAAAGAAAGCCATCATGAGGTTCTTAACAACTCATGATGCTTTTGAAGGCTAGAAGCCAATCAATGCATTTTACTTTTAATTTTATTACTTTTACCGAGTTCTAAAATACTAAATGATCCTTTAATCTCTCCTTCTGAGCCTGATACTTTTCACATAGATTACTTGTCTGAAAACTTGCCCATTCCAAATCAGCTTCTTGAAAATGTCATGTTTCCTTATTACCTACCCCAAATTCCTCCTCACCTGTTAATCCTCCCTCCTCTCCCTCAACCCTCTATTAAGTTCCATATACCTTTTTGGCTTAATTTATCTTCTACCAAATACATTCAGACTTTTCCTCCTTTACCTCAATCATTTTGTATTCTGATCTGTTCACCTGCAACATCTTGGGCTCTACCTTTACAATAGCCCTTTCCATGTGTCTCATGATTGTTACCATTTTATGTTACTCCTGTTACTCATTTATTATAAACATTTGCTACGTATAATAATACGTGATAAATGTTTACTATGTATAATAGTACATGATAGGCCCAGCCATGCAAACAAAACTTGATTCCTGCCCTGAAGCTTAGTCCAATAGGGGAAATAGATATAAAAATAGATAATTACAACATAGTGAGGTGAGTGCAGTAGAGATATATAAACTGTTTCCTGAGGACCCCTAGGAGGGGTACCAAATTTATCCTTGGGGCGGCTCACAGGAGGGGTGTGTAAGGGGACTGCTGACTCATAGAAATTGTCATGTAAAACCATGGGAAATACTGCCAAATTGCTCTCTAAACATGTAGCGTTACAATTTTTCTACTTCAGTACTAATGGATATTGTCAATCTTAAAAAGTTATTGTTTTGACTTATAACAATAAAGATTTTTAAAAAGTTATTGTTTTGGTAATAAATTGGCATTCATTATTTCATCTGGTGTTCCTTTAACTCGGATTTTACTGATTTTGTTTTTAGCTTTTACACATTAAAGTTTTTTTTAAAATAATTGCAGGTTTATGGAAGGTTGCAAGTACAATCAAAGAGCTTTCCCCCTGAATCGTTTGAAAGTAGGTTGACAAACAAGATGTCACATTACCCCAAATAATGTCTCTTTCCTACAAATAAGAACATTCTCCCATATATCCAGAACACAGCCATCAATCCAGGCAATCAGCACATTGTTAACATTGAAGTTTTGCCAGTTGTACCAATAACATTTGCAGTAAAAGAATCCAGATAGAATTGCACAGTAATCTAGTTTCTTTAAAACAGTTCCTTGGTTTTTTTATTCCATTATCTTTTTTAAAATGTATGATTCATTGATTTTTAAATAAATTCACAGAGGTGTACAACCGTCACCACAATCTAATACTGGAACATCTCCAGCATCCCCCACCAAACTTACGCACTTGCAGTCAGTACCTCTTCCCGCCTGGCCAACACCTGCCTTCTCTCTCCATAGATTTGTCTTTTCTGGATGTTTCCTATGAATGGAATCAGTCAATATGAGGACTTTCATATCTATCTTCTCTCAGTATCATGTTTCTGAGATTCATTCATGTTATAGTATGTGTTAGTACCTAATTACTTTTCATTGCCAAATAGTATAACATTGTATTGATTTACCACATTTGTTTAACCATTCACCATTTGATGGACATGTGCATTGTTTCCACATTTTGGCTACTATGAGTAGTGTTAGCTTGTATGATCTGGACATTTTTTAATATTATAGGGCAATTGTTTTTTACAATGTCTTAATTTGGGCTTGTCTACCAGACTTCTGTGAGTTACTCTTTATTCCTGGTTATTTTTTGTGGGTAGGTGCTTGGGAACCATGTAAATATTCCATTTTTCATCAAGCTCTTAGTTTATTTCATTATAACACCCTGGACTTAGGTTTATATTCTAGTGGGTTATGTTTTAGTTATCGTTTTATACCAAACTACCCCAAAACTTGGTGGAATAAAACGTTTTAATTTAAAAAGTGAATAATTCTTTGGGTCAGGAGTTCATGCAGTAATAGGGTAAATGGCTTGTTTCTGTTCCACCGTGTCTGGGAAGACTCAAAGGCTGAGGCTGACCGGACAAGCCCTAGAGGCATCTTTACCCACACATCTAGGGGCCAATGTGGAACATCTCTGTGCAGTCTCCACTGGACTAGTTTAGCTTCCTCACAACATCGGGTCTGGATTCCAACCAAACCTGATGATTCCCAGAGAACAGGCAAGGTGTGGCATTTTTATGATCTAGCCCTAGAAATCACATGGCATTAATTCTGTCATACTTTATTAGGTGAGACAGCCATCAAGTTCTGCCCAGGTTCATGGGGTGAGGGCATAGATGCCCTTACTTTTTGGAAGGAGTGTCAAAGTCATATTTGATGGAGAGCACATGGGATGGGAGATAATGTTGCATTATTTTTGGAAAATTCAGTGCCACAGGCTATAATCTTTTACTATCATTTATTTGATGCCCAGATAGTCCCATGTTTGGCTTGTAGGAACTTCTTCAAGCTAGCTCCAAGTCCTTTTGATATATCCCACCATTCTTTGACAGATTTCCTTATCTTCTGGCACAAGATGTTCTAGGAGCTGGTGTTTTCCATGCTCCAGCCCTCGAATTGGCCATTTTTCACAGGCACCCTGGTACCTTTTCATGGAAAGGGGTATTTAGAAATTAAGATTTGGGCCCTAGGAGTGCTCACTGCTACTGGGTGTGTAACTGCGTCTAGGCTTTTTTAGTGGGCAGAGCTATGGAATGTACACAGGTTTATTTTTATGTGTGTATATGTTAAAAGCAGTAAGGTCACACCTGTGCCTTTTTTCCCCAGTCAAGTATCATAGTGTATATTTTAATTTTATCCCTTTTCGGATATTTTAAAAAACATTTATTGAGTTGTAATTTGCATACCGTACAATCTACTTATGTAAAGTGTACAGTTCAATGGCTTTTAGTATATTTGCAGAGTTGTGCAGCCGTCACCACAGTCAGCTTTAGGACATTGTCATTGTTCTAGAAGAAGCTGTTCCCCCAGCCATCACCTCCCAGCTCTCAGCCTCCCCGCAGCCCTCTCTTCTCACCCTAGGCAGCCAGTGCTGCACCTTCTGCCTCTGCATAGCATTCGTCTGTTCCGGACCCTCCATGTACATGGATCAGACCACGCAGTCCTTTGTCGGGCTTCTCTGCGCACCATGTTCCCCAAGGCTCATCCACGTTGTAGCATGTGGCAGAGCTTCATTTCTTCTTGTGACCAAACAGTACTCCATGGTAGGAATGCACCACACTTTTTTTTTTTTTATCCTCACCCGAGGACATTTTTTCATTTTTAGTTCAGATAGAGTGGGAGAGAGAGAGAGAAACATCGACGTGAAAGGGACACATCGAATGGTTCCTCCCGCACGACCCATCCAGGGCCAGGGACAAATTGCAACCGAGGTACGTGCCCTTAGCGGGAACCGAACCCAGGTCTCTCTGGACCGCAGGTCTCTAACTGCTGAGCCAAACCAGCCAGGGCATGCACCACATTTTATGTATCCATTTATCAGTTGATGGATGTTTGAGTTACTTCTACTTTTTGACTATCAAGAATAGTGCCACTCTCTGGCCAGTGTGGCTCAGTGGTTGAGTGTCGACCCTGCACCAAGAGGTCACCAGTTCAATTCCTGGTCAGGGCACATGCTCAGGTTGTGGACCAATCCCCAGTGGGAGGCATGCAGGAGGCGGCCAATCGATGTTCTCATCCATGTTTCTATCGCTCCCTCCCTCTCACTTCCTGTCTCTCTGAAATCAATAAAGGAAAAAAAAATTATTTTTTAAATACAAAAAAAGAATAGTGTCACTGTGAACATTCTTGTACAACTTTTTGTTTGGATGTATGTTTTCATGTCTCTGGTGGAATTGCTGGCTCATGTGGTACCTCTATGTGTAATGTTTTGAAGAAATGCCAGACTGTTCTCCAAACTCACTGTACCATGTTACACTATTGCTGGTGATGAATCGAGAGATCAATTTCTCTATATCCTTGTCAGCACTTGTTCTTTTCTCTTTTCAGAATCACAGCCATCCTAGCAGGTGGAAGGAAGTATCTCGCTGTGGTTCCCATTAGTACTTCCATGTGCTCATGTTGGCTAGCATCTTTTCATTTGCCCATTTTTAAGTTGGGTTATTTGTTTTTAATTATTGAATTATCAGAGTTCTTTTTATATTCCTGGTATAAGTTCCTTATCAGAACTATGATTTGCAAAAATTTCTTCCATCTTGTGGATTCTCCGCTTTTTCCCTAGCATTCATTTGAGGCACAAAAGTTTTAAATTTTCTCAAAGTCCAACTTACCTAGTTTTTCTTTTGTTGCTAGTACTTTTTGGTGTCATAGTTAAGAATCCATTGCCAAATCCAAGGTCATGAAGATGTATGCCTGTGTTTCTCTCTGAGAGTTAAAGTTTTAGCTCTTAGATGGAGGTGTATGGTTTTGACTTGATTTTGTGGGTGGTGTACGGAAAGGGCAACTTCCTTCTGCAAGCAGATCCCTCGTTGTCCCGGGATCAACTTACTCTCAGTGTTTTACTAACCCCGTTACTTATTACAGTTTTGTTTTCCTTCCTTCTAAGGGAAATTTCAAAAATGTTTCAAATTCCTGTGGAAAATCTTGACAACATCAGGAAGGTACGAAAAAAGGTGAAAGGCATTCTGGTGGATATTGGGCTTGACAGCTGCAAGGAATTGCTGAAGGTAAGGGGATGCAGTAGCAGATTAAAAGCAGACAGTAATCATGGAGATTCTGGGGTTGGTTTTTGGAGCTGAGATTTGAGCTGGGAGTTTTTGAAGAATGGATAAGATTCTTCAAAATGGAAATTGCTAATAATCGAAATGACTGCCTGAGAGCATCATTAGTTCTTATTTCTTTCTTTCTGACTTAAATTGAGTTACTTTAACCTAAGTTTTTTTTTTTATTTTTTTTTTTATCCTCACCCGAGGACATTTTTCCATTTTTTGTTCAGGTAGAGTGGGAGGGAGAGAGAGGAACAGAGAGAGAGAGAAACATCGATGTGAAAGGGACACATCAAGTGGCTGCCACCCACAGAACCGACCAGGGCCGGGGACAAACTGCAACCGAGGTACATGCCCTTAGCGGGAACTGAACCCAGGTCTCTCAGGACCGCAGGCCGACGCTCCAACCGCTGAGCCAAACCGGCCAGGGCTAACCTAAGTTTTTTGAAGACTTTCTTTTATTTTATCCTCACCTGAAGACATTTTTCCATTTTTTGTTCAGATAGAGTGGGAGGGAGAGAGAGGAAGAGAGAGAGAAACATCAATGTGAAAGGGACACATTGAGTGGCTGCCACCCTCACGACCAACCAGGGCCGGGGACAAACTGCAACCGAGGTACAGGCCCCTAGCGGGAACTGAACCTGGGTCTCTCTGGACTGCAGGCTGACGCTCTAACCGCTGAGCCAAACCGGGCAGGGCAACCTAAGTTTTTAAAGTGACTTTTATGAGGGGCTTTTTATAATTATTAGTATTTATTTATATTTTTCAACTTTTGCTTACGTTTTTAATTTGCTTTATTATAGTTTTTCTTTGAACGTTGTGCCCACATTTACTGTACACAAAGGACATTTTCAGATACCAGAAATAAAACATAAAGCATTCAGACACTGACTATGTAAGCTATGTATGGTCATTAGATTGAAGACACTATTGAACCTAAACAACAGGAGTTTGAACTTCATGGGTCCACTTGCACACAGCTTTTTCCAGTAAATATATATGGTCGAGCCCTGGCCGGTTTGGCTCAGCAGTTAGAGTGTCGGCCTGTGGACCAGAGAGACCCGGGTTCGGTTCCTGCTAAGGGCACGTACCTTGGTTGCAATTTGTCCCTGGCCCGGTTGGGGTCGTGTGGGTGGCGGCCACTCGATGTGTCTCTCCCACATGGATGTTTCTCTCTCTCTCTCTCCCTCCCTTCCTCTCTCCCTCCTTCTCTGTCTGAAGATAAAGGCAAAAAATGTCCTCGAGTGAGGATAAAAAAAAGGTAAAATATATATATATATATATATATATATTCGGCCCTCTGGATCCCTAGGTTTCACATCTGCAGGTTCAACCAACTGCAGATCAAAAACAGTATTTCTGATCTGTGGTTGGGAATCGTGGATGTGGGGGCGGGGGCAACTGTATGCATTAATCTAGGCCATTCTATAGAGGGGACTTGAGCATTCCTGGATTTTGTTTTTTGCAGTGGGCCCTGGAACCAATCCCCTGTCAGTGCCCAGGGACAGCTATGCTTTTGGGGCATCGAAGGTTAATGCGAGTTTTTGGCTGTGGGCAGAGGCGTGGGGTTGGGGGTTGGAATCCCTAAGTCATGCTATTTATGTTTTGCTGTGTATTAGTTTTTGATCTTTGAGGAGAATGTGTTGAATTATTTATCATTTTAGCAGAAGACCCTAACTTAATTTCCCAGTATTGTTAGAGTAATCAATAAATGGGTATGCATACATGATATGATAGGATGTTTTTTCTGATTTGTGAATTTAATATATTCAGTCTTACAGAAGTTTAAAAATTAAGGTCACAGTCACACTACTGATAAGTTGTATTCTATTATAATTTTATCCTTTCTTATAACTTGAGAATATATGGCTGGCACATCTAGTAAAAAATAAAAATTTTTAAATAAGGCATGCTATGTAGCCTTGCAGCCATTGATAATTCTATGCATGTTTTATTCATAACCATTGAAATACCATGTCAGCTTTGACATTTTTAAGCTTGTGAAGAATTTAATTCAAAGTATTATTGACTAGTGAAGAGTTCAGTTTCTCAGTTTTCAAATCTCAAACTTAAAACCAGAGTGATTTTATTTATTGAAAAGGCAGTCTGATACTGAAAGACCTATAATTACCAGGATTCTCATTAGTAGTCAGCAGGTAGACAAATGTTAATTTCTAAAGGACTATGGGCAACCACTTGATATGTCTCTCTCACACCGATGTTTCTTTCTCTCCCTCCCTCCCTTCCTTCCATTCTATTTAAAAACCAATGGGAAATGCCTTGGGTAAGGATTAACAAGAGTAAAAGTGAATAACATGCATGTACTCATGTACTGCAAGTCCCTGTGAAGACCTAGAGCAAAGATTGTGACTGGATGTTGAATTTTGTCATGATTTTTCTGCATCTATTAAGATAATTGTTTTTGTTTTTTTTTCTTAATCTAATATGGTGAATTATGTGGTTTGGTTAAAAAAAAAAAACTTAAACCAATCTGTAGCCCTGGCCAGTTTGGCTTAGCGGTTAGAGCGTCGGCCTGCGGTCCGGAGAGACCCAGGTTCGGTCCCCGCTAAGGGCGCATACTTCGGTTGCAGTTTGTCCCCGGCTCTGGGTCGTGTGCGTGGCAGCCACTTGATGTGTCCCTTTCATGTCGATGTTTCTCTCTCTCTCTCCCTCCCACTCTATCTGAACAAAATATCTAAAAAATATTCTTGGGTGAGGATTAAAAAAAACAAAACAATCTGTATTCTTGAGATAAATTCTACTTGGTCCTTTTTTTTAAATTTCTTTTATTATTATTTTGTTGTTGTTGTTGTTTAGATAGAATGGGAGGGAGAGAGAGAGAGAGAAACATTGACGTGAAAGGGTCACATCAAGTTGCTGCCTCCCACATGACCCAACCAGGGCCAAGGACAAACTGTAACCGAGGTACGTGCCGAACCCCGGTCTCTCTGGACCACAGGCCAACGCTCTAACTGCTGAACCACACCGCCAGGGCTCTACTTGGTCCTTTTCATATGTTGGATCTATTTGAGCCCGGCCGGTGTGGCTCGGGTTTAGCCATATGTTAGATTGATAGCAGAATTTTGGTTAAGGATTTTTACATCTATGTTCATGAGGAATAGGGTCTGAAGTTTTCATTTTCTGTAGTATCTCATCTAGAGTTGGAGTTTTCTTTGTAGGGTGGTTTCTAACTATGAATTCAGTTTCTTTGGTAGATATCAGGCTAATAGGTTATCTAATTTTTCTTGAGTGAGCTTTGGCAGTTTTTCTTTTACTTTTTTTTTTTTTAAATCCTCACCTGAGGATATTCTTCCATTTATCTTCAGATAGAGTGTGAGGGAGAGAGAGAGAGAGAGAAATCAGTGTGAGCGAGACACATTGATTGATTGCCTCCTGCACGAGCCTGACCAGGGCCAGGAACCAAACCACAATCAAACCCACCACTCCACCCTTTGGTCGGAGGGCTGATGCTCTAACTGCTGAGTCAAACTGGCCAGGGCAGTTTTTCTTCTTTTAAGGAATTTGCTTATTACAACTTAAGTTGTCAACTTTATTAGCATAAAGTTGTTATGCTATTTCCTTAGTTGTAGGAGCTGTAGTGATGTTCCCACTTTCATTTTGATACTGGTAATTAGAGAGGTCTCTTTTTTCCTGATTAGTCTGAACAGAGGTTTATCAATTCTACTGATCTACTGGTTTCTTTGATTTTTCTTTGTTGTCTGTTTTCTATTCTATTTATTTGTGCTTTTTATGTTTTCATTTTTTTTTTTAGGGTTTATTTATAAAGCTCTAAAATATGATTTCTTAAGGTGGCAGTTTAGGTCATTGTTTTTTTACTTCTTCATTTTAAGTATTTTGTGCCGCACATTCCCCTGAAGTACTGCTTTAACTCCATCCTACACATCTGATTGTTTCCATTTTCATTGAGTTTTAAATATTTTCTAATTTACCTTGTGATTTCTTTTTTTTTTTTTCTTTATTGATTTTAGAAAGAGAGGAAGGGAGAGGGAGAGAGAGAAACATTGATGAGAGAGAACATCAATTGGCCACCTCCTGCACGCCCCCCACTGGGGATTTGACCCACAATCTGGGCATGTGCCCTGACTGCGAATTGAACCGGCGATCTCTTGGTGCAGGGTGGATGCTCAAGCACTGAGCCACACTGGCCAGGCTCCTTTGTGATTTCTATTTGATCCATGGATTTTTTAGAAATGTGATTAATTTGCCCTGAATAGTTTGGTTGAGGGGTTAGAGCATCAGCCCATGAACCAAAGGGTTATGGGTTTGATTCCTGGTCAGGGGCACGCACCTGAGTTGCATGTTCAGTCCCTGGCCCCGACTGGACCATATGGAAGGCAACCAATCCATGTCTCTCTCTCACGTTGATGTTTCTCTCTTTCTCCCTCCTTCCCTTTCATTCTGTCTAAAAAAAAATAAACAGAAAAATATCCTCTGGTAAGAATTAACAAAAAAAAAAAATCAACAATTATAAATTTAAAAAAAAAGAAATGCGTTTAATTTTTAGAAATTTAGGGTTTTTTTTTCTAGATATCGTTTTGTTACAGATTTATTTAATATATATATTTTTTGTTAGAGACTGTACTTTATAATTGTTTCAGTCCTTTTAAATATATTGAGACTTATTTTATGGTTCAACATGCACTCTGTCTTTGGAAATGCTTCATGTGTATTTGAAATGAATGTACCTTTTACTGTTGTTGGAGGAAAATTCTATAAATGTCATTTTGTCAAGTTGATTGATGGTGTTGTCTTCCCTGTCCTTCCTGATTTTTAAAAAATATGTGTTTATTGATTTTTTTTTTTTATCCTCACCCGAGGACATTTTTCTATTCTTTTGTTCAGGTCAAGTAGGAGGGAGGAGAAGAGAGAGAGGGGGAGAGAAACATTGATGTGAAAGGGACACATCGAGTGGTTGCCACCTGCACAACCCAACCAGGGCCAGGGACAAATTGCAACTGAGGTACGTGCCCTTAGCGGGAACTGAACCCGGGTCTCTCTGGACCACAGGCCAACGCTCTAACTGCTGAGCCAAACCGACCAGGGCTGTTTATTGATTTTTTTAGAGAGAGAGGAAGGGAGAGAGCTAGAAACATCACTTGAGGGAGGAACATCAATCAGCTCCTCTTGCTCGCCCCCTGCTGGGGATCGAGCCCATAACCGGGGCATGTGCCCTGACCCGGAATCAAACTGGGACCTCTCAGCCCATAGGACACTCTCCATCCACTGAGCTACACCATTCGGCTGTCCTTCCTGATTTTGTGGGCTTCCTCTATCAATTATTGAGAGAGCCATGTTGAAGCCTCCAACTATAATTTTGGATTTAATTATTTCTCTTTTCAGTTTTCTTCATGTACTTTGAAATTCTTTCAAGTACATACGCATTTAGGATTATTAGGTTCTGTTGGAGAGTAGTAGACTCCACTATTATCATGAAATCACTTTCATCCGTGTTAAAATTATTTCTTTCCTGCTGAAATCTGCTTTGTCTAATGTTAGTATAGCTCCTTCAGATTTTTTTGATTAGTGGTAGTGTGACATACCATTGTTCATCTTTTTACCTTTATTCTGTCTAGGTCATTATATTTAAACTGAAATTTTTGTAGATAGCATATAATTGAATATTGTTTTTATACCCAATGTGACAGTCTATTTGAGTATTTCCAGAAGGGGTAGGTAAACTATGGCCCCAGTATGGGCCAATCTGGCCGTTTTGTCAGTAAACGTCCTCAGAGCTCCACCATGCTTGTCAGTATTCCTGTGGTGTCTGCTCTCTGTGCACCGTGTGACTGCATGTTGTTCAGAGATTGCATAGCAGAGACTTCACGTGCATTATCTGCCTCTTAACAGAAAAGGGTCACCAGTCTGGCCCATGCGGCTCAGTGGTTGAGCGTCAACCCTGCACCAAGAGGTCGCCAGTTCGATTCCTGGTTGGGACACATGCCCAGGTTGTGGGCCCAATCCCCAGTAGGGGGCATGCAGGAGGCGGCTAGTCAGTGTTCTCTCATCGATGTTTCCATCTCTCTCTCTCTCTCTTATTTCCTCTCTAAAATCAATAAAAGGAGAAAAAAAAAAAAGAAAAGCATTATCAGCCCCTGTTGCTTAATGTAATTATTGATAGGGTTGGGTTCAAATCTCCCATCTCAATGTTTGTTTTTACTTGTCTCATCTGTTCTCTGTTTCCTTTTTTTTTCTTTCTCTGCTTTCTTTTGATTGGGTTTTTCTAATTCCAGTTTCATCTCCATTATTGGCATAATAGCTGTGTTTTTGTTTACCTTTAATCTTTTAATTTTTTTTTTTTTTACTTATTGATTTTAGAAAGAGAGGAAGGGAGAGAGATGGAAACATTGATGAGAGAGAAAATCGATTGGCCACCTCCTGCATGCCCCCCACTGGGGACTGGGCCCACTACCTGGGCTTGTGCCCTGACTGGGAATTGAACCCATGACCTCTAGGTGCATGAGTCGACAATCAGCCACTGAGTCACACCAGCCAGGCTACTTTGCTTTTTTGTTACTTTCATCTTTCTCTGTCATTAGATGTTCATCTTACCCAGTTTATATCATATTTCTCTTGTTTTCCCCCAACTATATTTTAAACTTGGTGTGTTTGAACCAGGACTCAATCTGGACCCCCTTGCTCCTGGTAGCTAGGTTCTGAGTGACTCTGTCCCCTCATCTCCTCCTCCCCTGCTGCCACGTTCGCCACGCCCTGGTCTACACGCCCCCCACAGCCGATGCCTGGTGCCCTTGGTCTGCACACACCCAGGGCTCCCGCCTCATGTTCTCACCAAGTCCTCACCTCTGGTGGGAGGTGGTGTGTACTCGTGCGGTTTTCATCTTCTGGAAATTATTTGTGAGAAATGTCATCTGTTTATTTCTTATAAAATTATAATTTTGGATTATTTCAGCCTTTTCCTCTGGTTTCACACTTCATGGCTCCATCACAGTTTGCTCAGGGGCTGCATTTTCCATTAACTTTCCCACGTAGGTTTCTTAGGTGCCAAATAATGGCATCAGGTTCTAATTAGATGTTTCTTTATCTGCTGGGATTGGATAATGATTTCTTTCTTTTTCTCCCTTTTTTGAAAGGACCTTAAAGGCTTCGATCCAGGAGAGAAGTACTTTTATAACACATCATGGGGAGATATTTCTCTCTGGGAGCCTTCTGGAAAGAAAGTGGTATGTATTTTTGTATTTGATTTTCATGTTTCCTCAAAAGTTGAAGAAGAGTCAGTTCAGTCTGAGGGACCTCCCCAGTGCCACGGGGTTGCTGACGAGTGAGTGGGGAGGGGGTGAGACGTGTGCCTCGCAAACCCTGGCTCCCAGCCTGGGGCTCCTCTTGTTCTTTTGGTTTTTTTACTTACCTTTATTGTTGAATATTTTACAGATGTTCCTCCTTTTTCCCCTGTTGACCCCCTCCTCCCCGCTCCCACCCCCCTCCTGCCTTTCCCCACACTGTTGTCTGTGTCCAGTGGTTGCACATGTATGCATAGAAGTTCTTTGGTTGATTTCTTCCCACCCTACAGTCCCCCCCCCCCTTGAGATTTGTCTGTCTAGCAACCAATTTGTACTTCTTTTTGTTGTTTTTCTTTTTTTATCCTCACTCGAGGGCTTTTTTTTTTTCAATATTTTGTTCAGATAGAGTCGGAGGGAGGGAGAGAGAGAGAAGCATCGATGTGAAAGGGACACGTTGAGTGGTTGTCACCCACACGACCCAACCAGGGCCGGGGACAGACTGCAACCGAAGTACGTGCCCTTAGCGGGAACCGAACCTGGGTCTCTCCAGACCGCAGGCCGACGCTCTAACCGCTGAGCCAAACCGACCAGGGCTTCTTTTTGTTTTTTAAACAGTATCTTTCAAAGAGAAGAAGCTTTATTCAATGAAGTCTAGCTTATTATATTTTACCTTTTATGAATATTTCTGGTGTCATAGTTAAGACATTTTCCCCCAACCCAGAGACCTATTCCACACTAATAGATAATAACATGCAGTTGTTAGTGAGTTCTGTTGACTCTTTGAGTGTAATTTTTGCTGATTCTCTTGTTTTTTAATACAGTATTCCATTGAACGTAAGTCACTTTTTGTTGTTGTTAATTCTCACCCAAGGATATTTTTTTCCATTGATTTTTAGAGAGAGAGGAAGGGAGGGGTGAAGAGGGGAGAGAGAGAGAGAAACATTGATATGAGAGAGACACATTGATTGGTTGCCTCCTGCATGTGCCCTAACTGAGGCCAGGGACTTGAACCTGCAACCTAGGTACATGCCCCTGACCCGGAATCGACCCTGGGATCCTCTGGTGCACAGGCCAGCGCTCTAACCACAGAGCCGCACTGGCCAGAGCAAGACACCATTTTTAAATGAACCCCTAATAAAACTAAAGTCATACTTTATTTAAACTGTCTACCACTGAGCCATTATTTGTAAAGTATTTCCAGATTTCAGAGATAATAAAGCATTGGGGAGAAAAGTCTCAGGATCATTGAAATAAGGAGTTTTTAGCCTGTGCTTGGCTGTTGCCCTGTGTTTATTATAGATCCTACTAGAAATGCCATTACCTGGGGTTTCTCTAATTGCAGAGAGGCAGTAACGTTTTGTTGAAAGTGTTTTGGTGATTTCTCTGACCTGTGACTCAAGAAGACAAAGTGTATGAGTAGGAGAGAGAAAGGATGACGCTCATAGAATGAGGACACTGTGGTGAGAGAGAGTCTGATCATGAGAGCACAGAGAACAGGTCAAGGAAGGGTGGGCTCACCCGTGGCCACTGTGTAGCAAGGAGTGGTGTCCCCACATGGGATGGTGTCTGCACAGCCCATGGTGGGGCCTCAGTGAAGCGTTCAGTCTGTCCCAAGTCTCACCCTCCTCCTCTGTGGAACGAGGGCCAGGTGTTCTGTGGTTCACAGCTCTGGGGTCTGGAGACACATGCAAGCAGAGAGTTCAGTCCTCACATCATCACAGACAAGCGGTTCACTGCATTACACTCCTCTGTTGGCCAGGGTGGTTCATGTGTCTGCTGTTATGCCCCGTGCTTGTTGAATCGCCCTTCATGTGCCTGAAAGAGAAATTCCATGTCGTCAGCACTGTATTCTGTGGCCTGAAGCTTACTTGAGGGTTATTTGTGGTGACTTAGGCACAGTCCCTCTTTCTTTACTGTTTGTTACATAGTTTATTGGATACTTATGTCTGCTAAGCACTGTCTGTTTGGCTCTTACCTTCACTAAGAATAGAAACGGAAAATAATGTAGTAATGATGGGTTTCACAATTTGTAAGTTAGATTATTTGTAGATAAATTGCAGAGGTTTTAGAATTTGGAGTAAAAACAACATTGGAGAAATAGGATGAGAAGGGGAGAAAATAACTTTGTCTTTGCAGAGAACTAAGTGACTTTATTTTTACTTTTTAAAAATATATAAGCAAAGTAGGAAAAGTCTACAGCAGGGGAACAGAAATGATCAAGGGGCTGGGAGTGAAAGTTACTGCAGTCATCTGGGGACAGACCCCAGTCTGCTGCTGAGCATAGAGTCTCTAAGTGAATACTTCATAGATCAGGTTAGAAAACAGTAGCATTGGGAGCACATCCTGAACTTGGAGATATTCCTTAAAGAAATACAATGAAGTGTTACTTCATGCAGAGGATTGTGCACTTATGAAATTCATTACCCAAAGAAGTGGTACCATTTGAAAGTAAAATTCAATTATAAAAGTGATTTGCATACAGAAATCAAGAAATTTTAAGTCATTAAGGGAAACCTGAATTTGAGGTTAATACTGAGATGTGAGAGGGAAATGCAGTGGCATCAGGAAATTCTTGTCTTTAATAATAAAATAAAATGTGAATATAAATAAAACTTAAAGTTAGGTTTTATTTTCCACTTTAGTTTACTTTTCTGAAAACAAATACCTACTCTAGTACTTTTACCTTTAAAAAAAATTCCAAACTTCTATCTACTATTCCTTCAGGGTTTCTTGACCCCCAGGTTCCAAGCAGTCTGTGGATAAAATTACATTTCAGTGTAGTTTGTTTTCTTTATGATCTTGTGCATTATATTTTCTACGTTTAAAACACGACTCTGAGGAGGCCACAGGCTTTCCCAGATGGCGGGAGGAGAGTGTGGTGCAGGAAAGGCCAGGGTCTCGTGGACCAGATCAGCCATCTGGACTGCCCGGGGTGCAGCAGAGAAGGACATTGTCTTGCTCCACAGCTCTGGCAAGGTCTTGACACCAGGGCACTTCCCTCGGAGAGGCAGAGAGCCCTCTCCACTTTGGTCTGGATGTGGAAGGCATAGAGGATGGAGTTGGGGCAGAAGCTGATAAGGAACTAGAAGAGAAGGGGCCTTGGTTAGGGATGAAGCTGGGATGGTAGGAGCCATCTCCCTGGTAGAACAGGGGCCACAGTCCTTCCCTGGTTGCTGCTAACAAAGATTCTCCTTGGCTCCATTCTCTGATCCCATCCTGCAGTACTGGACACACCAATACGTGGGCCCCTTCATCCTTGTCCTGATTTTTGGAAGCTTGCTCAGCCCTGAGCCAGCCTTCTTGGCCAGTCATTGTTTTGTCCTCAGCGTGTAACCCTTCATGACCCAGGCTGATGATCCTGAGACTTTGGATCCCTCACCTAAAGGTGCTCCTAGTCATGTGGCCCAGGGGCCAAAGCCTCTCCTGAGCTGAGAACTACGCCGTGTAGTTGTGGCTCACTGCAGAAGAGCACTGAGCAGAGCGGAGGGGTTGAGGCTGAGATCTAGTCTGTTTTACCTGTGGCTGTGTTGGGCTGGAGGGCCATGTCTTCTGACTCACACGAAGACACTGCAGAAGCCCTGAGCCAGAGCTGCGGTGGCACTGCCTAAGTGACTTTATTTTAATTGAAGCAGTTAATTCAAAGTATAGGACTAAGGAATGAGATTTGTGGTTTTAGAGGATGGTTTGGAAACTGTTCACATCATGTGTTTGTATGGATTACAAACTAAGAATAGTTGTTAAATTTTTAAGTGTTTGAGAAGAAAAAATGAAAAAAAAATGTTTGGTGAAATGAAAATGATATGAAATTTGAATGAGTGTGTGTAGTTTCATTGTCACAAAGGCTCATGATGTACGTGTCACCTGTGTGTGCTTTTGTCTTCCAGGCAGCGCTCAGTGGTTGCCCTGAAGCTGTTGGGTGGCCCACAGAACCTAAAATATTTATTCTGGCCCTTTAAACATTTCTTGCCCTGGCTTAGAACTCACATTATTCTCTGAGGGGTGATAGCGTTAAGCTATCTAGATAGCACGTTAGAAGAAAATGAGTCATATACTTGTTAACTGTAGAAGGTGTAGCTCACATCAGGAGGCTTTATTAAATGATAATTGATTTTTTATTTTAACAGAGATATCGAACAAAGCCATACTGTTGTGGCCTCTGTAAATACTCTACAAAAGTGCTTACTTCGTTCAAAAATCATTTACATCGCTACCATGAGGATGAAATTGACCAAGAGCTGGTGATCCCTTGCCCAAACTGCGTATTTTCCTCTCAGCCCAAAGTGGTGGGACGGCACTTCAGAATGTTCCATGCGCCTGTCCGGAAAGTGCAGAACTACACAGTGAACATCTTAGGTGAGACTAAGTCATCCCGGAGTGATGTCATCAGTTTTACGTGTTTAAAATGTAACTTTTCAAACACTTTGTACTACAGCATGAAGAAGCATGTGCTGGTAGCCCATTTTCACTACTTAATAAACTCCTACTTTGGCCTACGAACTGAAGAAATGAGTGAGCAACCCAAGGCCGATGGTCCCCCTTCTGCGGAGAAGATGCCGCCCTCTGACAAGTATTACTGTAAAAAGTGCAGCGCCAACGCCAGCAGTCAGGACGCGCTGATGTATCACATCCTGACGTCTGACACACACAGGGATCTGGAAAATAAGCTCAGGTCCGTGATTTCAGAGCACATCAAGAAGACCGGACTTCTGAAGCAGATGCACATCGCTCCGAAGCCCGCTGCCCACCTGGCCTTGCCTCCCAGCGGCAGTGCTCCGGGCATCCCTGCCACGCCCCCCTGCTTCCATCTTGCCTTGCCGCCCAGCAGGCAGAGTCAGACTGCCGTCCAGCCAGTTCAGGGCTCAGTCCAGCCAGTGACACTGGCCTCGGGCACTTCTGGAAGCCTCACCCATTCTCCGCCTGCCACTGCCCAGTCTCATGTGACTCTGGTCTCCAGTCCACTGTCCGGAGGCCAGAGCAGCCTCACTGTGCCTCCCTCAGGGCCGCAGCCTGTCTTCCTCTCTCATGGAGTCCCCCTTCCTCAGTCAGCAAATCCTCCTGTGTTGCCCTTGAGTCAGCCAGTTGGACCTGTCAGTAAGTCTGCTGGAACTGGTGTCCTCCCCATAAACCAGACCATCCGCCCAGGGGTTTTATCCCTCAATCAGCCTGTTGGGCCCGTAAGCCGACCGGTTGGGTCTGGAGTTCTTTCGGTAAACAGACCTGTTGGGTCCACTGTCCTTCCTGTCAGTCCATCTGTCACCCCTGGGGTTCTTCAGGCAGTCTCTCCAGGGGTGATTTCTGTGAGTCGGACTGTCCCGTCAGGTGTCCTTCCTGCAGGCCAAATGACTCCTGCTGGGGTTATCCCTTCAGGACAGACAGCAACTTCTGGGGTTCTTCCTGCTGGACAGATGGTCCAGTCTGGGGTTCTCCCCATCGGCCAGACGGCCCCGTCAGGGGTTCTCCCCCCTGGGCTGACAGTCCCATCACGGGCACTCCCTCCTGGCCAGACGGTCCCCCTGCGGGTTCTTCCTGCAGGCCAGGTGGTCCCACCTGGGCTCCTTCCTCCCAACCAGACAGTCTCGTCAAGCATTCTCCCTGGGAACCAGGGTGTGAATCCTGGTATGCTGCATCTCAGCCAGCCGGTCATGTCAGGAGTTCTTCCTGTGAGCCAGCCAGTGAGGCCTGGGGTCCTACAACTTAACCAGTCTGTGAATACCAGCATTCTGCCTGCCGGTCAGCCAGTTAGGCCTGGTGCTTCACAAAACACAGCTTTCCTGACATCAGGCTCCATTCTCAGGCAGCTGATACCTACAGGGAAGCAGGTGAATGGGATTCCCACGTACACACTTGCCCCGGTATCAGTCACTTTGCCTGTGCCACCTGGAGGTGTTACAGGTGTTGCCCCACCCCAGGTACCCATCCAGCTCCTGCAGCCGGGTGCAGCCACGCAGATGGCCAGTCCCATGGCCGGCATGCCCTCTCCCCCAGTGGTGGTGAATGCAGCTCCAAATGTGTTCATTCAGCCCTCCTCCTCTGCAGCAGAGGCGGGCCCGGTGCTCAAACAGGCAAAGCAATGGAAAACCTGTCCAGTCTGCAACGAGCTCTTCCCTTCCAATGTCTACCAGGTTCACATGGAAGTGGCTCACAAGCACAGCGAGTCCAAATCTGTTGAAAAACTGGAGCCAGAAAAACTGGCTGCATGTGCACCATTTTTAAAGTGGATGAGAGAGAAGACAGTTCGGTGTCTCTCTTGTAAATGCTTGCTGTCAGAGGAAGAGCTCATCCATCACCTACTGATGCACGGCCTAGGGTGCCTGTTCTGCCCACGTACTTTCCATGACATTAAAGGTCTTTCAGAGCACAGTAGGACCATGCACCTGGGGAAGAAGAAGGTGCCTGTGGATTATAGTAACAAAGGTTTCCAACTGGATATTGATGCCAACGGCAACCTGCTGTTTCCGCATCTTGATTTCATTACCATGTTGCCAAAGGAAGAGTTAGGGGAGCGGGAAGTCTACCTGGCAATACTGGCCGGGATACACTCCAAGTCACTCGTGCCGGTGTATATTAAAGTGAGGCCTCAGACGGATGGTGCTCCTGGGGTTCCCAGCAAACAGGTGTTGACCTGCCCCTTTTGCTTTGGCACTTTTGTGACAACCGAGGCGTACGAACTGCATTTGAAGGACAGGCACCACATCACACCAACAGTCCACACAATCCTGAAGTCTCCGGCTTTCAAGTGCATCCACTGCTGTGGGGTCTACACTGGCAACATGACCCTGGCAGCCATCGCCATCCACCTGCTGCGCTGCAGAAGTGCCCCGAAGGACAGCAGCTCAGACCTGCAGGCACAGCCTGGCGTCATCGAACACAGTGAGCTGCTGCTCGTCAACGGTGAGGTGCTGCAGGACTCCAGCTCTCCTGTCAAGAGAAAGCTTCCTGAGGGCCACTTTGGGGCAGAAGGCCAGCGGGAAGGGGAGCAGCGGCCTCTGGCCACAGACACTGACGCGCCCCCGGCTCCAGAGAAGGTGATGGGTGTCGTGCCTCTTAAGAGACAAAGGAATGAAAGCAGGACGGAGGGACCACTTGTTAATGACGACGCTCTGCAGATTTTAGCATTAAACCCCCGAAAATATGAAGACCGTTCTTATGAAGAAAAAAAGCAGTTCCTTAAAGATTATTTCCACAAGAGACCCTACCCCAGCAAGAAGGAGATCGAGCTGCTGTCCTCGCTCCTGTGGGTGTGGAAAATTGACGTGGCTTCGTTTTTTGGAAAAAGAAGATATATTTGCATGAAAGCAATAAAAAGTCACAAGCCTTCTGTCCTCTTAGGCTTTGATATGTCTGAACTTAAAAATGTTAAACACAGATTGAACTTTGAGTTTGAACCACAAAACCTGTAAAACAATTAGGAAATTAGTAGTTTTTTCAATTGAGATTTTTATAAATGTTATTTTCTTCACTGTATGTTGAACTAATCAATTTCAGTGGTCTTTATGCTGCTCTTTAGATATATTTCAGGTGCTCAGCAGGACTTCCACGTGAAGGAGTGATAGTTCTCAGAGTCACAGCCCCCGCGGCTGGGTCAGTCACAGTGACTGTTCGTCCCCTGTCAAGTGATTTGGGTCGTGTCCGTGCACGCCGTGCTCTCCCAGCAGTGCGGGCATGTTCTCCACGCAAGGACATTGTAGCTTGTTTCAGAATCCTTAATTAATTGCAGATTCAAGCTCTGATCTCCCTCAGCTTCCCAGGCAGCCGCAGATGGTGCAGTGACGTTCAGAGAAGTGAGCAGCCGTGCTGTGTGCGGCTGCTAAGGGCTCGTGCGCTCACTGCCCTGGTTCCTTCTGTGAGATGCTCGCTTACTAGAGTGTGATTTTCATTTACAGCTTTTTAGGTTTGTCTTAGCCGTTTTTGATCATAACTCATAGAAAACCAAATGTTTTCATTTGTTAAAAAAATATACTGAACCTGAAGTCTGGTATTTTAGCTTGTAAGTCAAGAGTTATTTTAGAAATAAAGTAATTCTTTTCAGTGTAGCCTTCCCCCTCTTTTTGATATGGTGATAAGTCGTTTTTCATTCAAAGGTAAGACAGTAAATCTTTAGTGCCTTTAGAATAAACACTGAAAACACACACGGACTCTCCTGCTAACCTAACTACTCATAAACCAGTGAAGGGGAAGGACCATGTTACTCAGGAATACATTTTTTACCCCTGAGTGTGGATGCTGAAATGTAAACATAGGTCTTCAGGGACAAGGGGAAACCAGTAGACCAACAGCTATAAGCTCCATGGTTGGGCCATGAATTTTTGACAGTTTCCTAGAAATAAGTGTGTACCTACTGGGGAAGAGGGTGTTCCGTGGCCAGCGTCTGGCTACCGGGATGGGTGTGGCGAATGAACTCCACTGTGTTATCGTTCTTTGGGCAGTAGTTAGACCGCAGTTTTGTCACATGATAACACGGCATAGAAGAGCTCAGTGCACCAGAACCAGTGAAGGAGACCAGCCAGGTTAGACCTTGAGTCGTACTTACTGCTGGTGGCACACAGCATACGCACCTGTCCCGTGTATTCAGAGGATAGGACGGTCTCTGGGAAATAAGATAATGTTACTTATGGATTTAAAATATAATACCTGCATGTAATTGCTATAATGTGCATTTTTGAGGCGGTTGTGAAACTGGTCTGTGATTGTTGGTGTACTCTGTTGTAAATTCAAAAGAGCTTGTTGAAGTTTATTTTTTTTTTTTTACCTATTGTTTTCAGAGTGTCTATTTTGAATTAAAATTTGTTATACCACTACAAATAGACGTGTTTAACTCTTAACAGAGCGCCGCTGTGACTCAGGAGTAATCGCAGCGTAGAAATAGATGCTACGTCCATTTCCCAGAAGGACATCACCAGGTCTGAGAGAGAGATGGCAGGATGTTCTTTCTGTTGTTAATCCACACCCGAGGATATTTTACCACTGATTTTTAGATAGAATGGAAGGGAGGGAGGGAGAGAGAGAAAAAACATCAGTGTGAGAGAGACACATTGAGTAGTTGCTTCCTGTGTGACCCCAGCCGGGACCAGGGATCGAACCTTCAACCCAAGGTACATGCCCTTGACTGGGAATGGAACCCATGACCCTCCAGTCCTCAGGTGACGCTCTAGCCACTGAGCCAAACCAACCAGGGCAGGCTAGATTTTCTTGATGCACCTGTAACAGAGACCACCAAGCTGTCCAAAGCGGGTTTGCCCGTATGGAGGGTTTGCCTAGGGCCACCGGGGAGGGCCAGGTGTGGAGGCGCTGACGCGGCGCTGCCCGCCTGGTGAGGCCCGCCCTCATTGAGGTGACCGTCCTGCGCGTTGCCAAACTGGAGAAGCATCCCTGCCTCTCTCTACCTGCAGCAGCTGAGGCGCCCCCTGGGCCAGTCCTGGCAACCAGGGCTTCGTGGCTCAGTGCCCTGGGAGCAGAGCCCATCCTGCGAGTCCCTGTGATGGAGGAACCGACTTCCAGCTGGGTCTCGGCTGTCGTTCAGCTTCTGACGTTCGGCTCATGACTGGTTTTTAAACAATTGTTCATGCTCACAAATTAGGCACAGTTTTACACAAGCCAGGTTTCCAAAGGCACACGTGGGAGTCCTTTCAGAGGTGAGACGCACGTGCAGGGGTGCGCGGGAGTAGGGTCACTGTTGCCCTCGGGGAAAGACCTGCAGGCTGTGATTGTTACAGTACTTGATTAACTCTAAAGAATGTCACACAACTGATACCTACTGTGCCTACCCCTGTATTTATTATTTGAAAGTGAAAAACAACTACAGATTAATAGTTGGTGGTTGAGGTTTGTAAAACCGTCTTAAAAGATTATTAGAAATTGCGTAGGGAAGGACAGTTCTTTTATATGATGGTTACAAAAAACTGTATACTTTAAAATACTTCTTTATGTAGCATCAGCCTTTCTATGCTCACGTGAGAATATGTTTATTGATTTATTCATGTATTTTAGAGAGAGAAACATTGACTGTTGGCCTTCTGTGTGCGCCCTGACAGGGAATGGACCAGTAGCCTTTTGGTGTGGCTCCTGCTGCAGCTAACTGCCCAGCCAGGGCAGGGCAGCCTCTGACTTCTCCCTGTTTGAAGCCTGTTCCATCAGAATGCAGCATGCTGTTCTAGCTTCTCAGATTTAGTTTACCTTTATTTGATCTGTTTGTTTGTTTGTTTATTTATTTTTTATCATTCTCACCCGAGGACATTTTTCCATCTTTTGTTCAGGTAGAGTGGGAGGGAGATGGAGGAACAGAGAGAGAGAGAAACATCGATGTGAAAGGGACACATTGAGTGGTCGCCACCCGCACGACCAACCAGGGCCGGGGACAAACTGCAACTGAGGTACGTGCCCTTAGCGGGAACCGAACCCGGGTCTCTACGGACCACAGGCTGATGCTCTAACCGCTGAGCCAAACCGGCCAGGGCTGTTTATTGTTTTTTAATCCTCACCAGAGGATGTTTTTCTATTTATCTTCACATAGAGTGGGAAGGAGAGACAGAAAGAGTGAGAGAGAAACATCAACAGGTTCCCTCCCGCACGACCCCAACCAGGGCCGGTGACAAACCGCAACCGAGGTACGTGCCCTTGGCCAGAATCGAACCTGCAACTCTCTGGTCTGCAGGCCGACGCTCTAACTGCTGAGTCAAACCGGCCAGGGCAGATGCGTTATTATTTTAATAAATAAAAACCACATCAGTTCACTTCCTTTTTATCCTCACCTGAGGAGAGAGAGGAAGAGAGAGAGAGAAACATGGATGTGAAAGGGACACATCGAGTGGCTGCCACCTGCACGACCCAACAAGGGCCAGGGACAAACTGCAACTGAAGCAGGTGCCCTTAGTGGGAACTGAACCCAGGTCTCTCTGGACCACAGGTCGACGCTCTAACCACTGAGCCAAACCAGCCAGGGCTCAGTTCACTTCTTAACAGTGAGTCTAAGTGAGAGGGCCCCAGACAAAGTTCAGTGTAGTAAGCCTCCCACAAAATTATGAGGAGCACATGTGTTCAGTATCTTCTGCAACATGGGCCACAGGGCAGAAGTGTGACTGGCAGAAGTCACTGGGGAAGGCACGGGGGAGCCATGTGGCCACGTGGGAGACAGGCTGGGTGACAGCGTGGTGCCAGAGTTGGAGAAGGGGCAGCCATGCGCATGGAGACTGATATGGTGGAGACGGCGTCCTGCTGGTGGTGTCGGGAACTGCGTGTCCCTAATGAAGATGACTCTGCTTCTCCACCCTTCAGTTCCATCGCCATCAAACCAAACAGCCAAACTGCGCACAAGCAGCTGGGGGCTGAAGACTCATCCGTGTACCTGCGGACGACAGTGCAGGCCCTGCCCAGCTGCTGGGCACCACAGCCAGTGCCGGTGCTCTGGGCACAGAAGTCCTGCCAGAGCGCCTCAAGGGACCGCCGGACCACAGGACAGGGCTGCAGGCCTCTGCACCTGGCCTCCTTGGTGTTGGGCACACGAACTCAGGCCACTTGTCTGCCTTGCAGGAGTCCATGTGCTTCTCACTCTTTCATCAGGTTTCGAAAGAGGGCCTCTGGAAACTGCGGTGCTGCAGTTGGCACTCGAGAGACTTCCTTCCTGAGGCCTGGCTAGGCCATGTCGGTGGTGTCGTCTGGCAGCTCAGCAGAGCCGTGCTCCTGCAGCAGCGCCTGCTGTGCCCGGCGGGCTGCCCACCTCCCTGTGCATTCCCTGCAGCCCGAGTCTGACGTCGCTGTGCAGGTCACTGGACAAAGCAACTGAACCCTGACCAAGAACAGAAAATAAGCAGCCCCAAAAGTAACCTTGTGCGTGTGTGTCCACTGCCCCAAGTCCAGTCTCTCTCCTTCACCATTTCTCCCCATCCCTCTCCTCCTCCAACCCCCTTCCCCTCTGGTGATCACTGTGCGGTCTAACCTACTTTTTATGTTTGGTTCTAAGCAGGCCTTCCTAGTGAATAATAAACATGTATCAACCATTGCCAGGAAACAGGCCGAATACTTTAATAACAGTAATAATAACAATGTGCTGTCCGCACTGTTACCAGGTGAAGTGGCAGTAACCCCTCTACATGCAGAGAGGCTAAGGCAGAGCGCAGTTACCTTGGCCAGGCAGGGTGAGTACGGTGGGAAGGGCTGGGGAGTAGGAGGCGCGGCTCTTAATTAATCCAGTGTAGCTCCTACCCATGTATTACCCACCCCAGCTCAAAGCAGTCCTATGATGTAGGCGTTACTCTTATTTTTAATCCTCATCCGAGGATATTTTTCTATTTATCTTCAGATAGAGTGGGAGGGAGAGAGAGAAACATTGATGTGAGAGAGACAGCGATATGAGAGACACATCGACTGGCTGCCTTCTGCAGGACCCCTACCGGGGCTGGGGACGAACCACAACTGAGGTACGTGCCCTTGACCAGAACCCGCGACTCATTGAGCTATAGGCCAACGCTCTAACCGCTGAGCCAAATGGCCAGGGCGATGTAGGTATTGTATCTGCATAGTACAGATGAAGAAACGGATTCAGAAGTTGAGTGGTAGCCTGTCCCTTCCTCAGGACTTGGATTGTTTGGACTTCCAGTGCCGAGACCAGGCCAGCAGGAGCACGTTGGTCCCCTACTCAAAGGTCCTCAGGGTGACATGTCATCTAATGATGATGCACTACTATGTCTAATTCTGTACTATCTAGACTTGTATATAGCTCTTCTTAAGAAAATATTTTTATTGATTTTTTTTTTGTTGGTAGAGAAAGAGAGGGAGAGAATGAGAAACATCAATGTCCGAGAGAGACATGGACCATCGGCCTCCTGCACGCCCCCTACTGGGGGTCAAGCCCACAACTCGGGCATGTGCCCTGACCGAATCGATGGACCGGCACCCCTCAGTCCATGGGATGACATTCCATCCACATGCTCCATGAGGAAAAAGTATGTGCATATAGACACATAGTAGCTAAGGTTAGTGTTTCACAGCTGTTTAAAGAATGTGCTCCCCAAACCACTGTATCCCACTCGTACAATCAGGAACAGTGTGGTCAGTTATTTACAGGCGGCCTGGTCACTGCTCATCAGTTCCAGACTCCACCGCGAGCCCGGAGCAGCAGGGGCTTTGTCCACACACAGCCGCCCCCGCTCGCGCTGCCTCCGTGGCCTCCGTGGCCCCCGTGGCCTCAGGCTAGCGCGGCTTTTTCAAATTCTATATTTGAAGAAACTGCGATAGAGTGAAGCCGCGGACATCGAAGCGCAAAGTGGGCGGACGGCTGTGTTTATATTTTTTATTTTTTTTATTGGAGGGAGAGAGGGAGGAGGGGAGAGAGCAAGAAACTTCGGTCTGCTGTTCCACTACTGAGGCTTGATTCTTGTGTGGGCCCCGACTGGGGATCGAACCCACAGCCTGGGCGTATCAGGATGACACTAGAGCCAACTGAGTGCCCAGCCCGGGCAGAAACTGAATAATTAATAGCAATGAATAATAATAATGCTTTAGCCCTGGCCGGTTTGGCTCAGCGGATGGAGCACTGGCCTGCGGACCAGAGAGTCCGGGTTCGGTTTCGCTAGGGGCACGTATCAAAAAAAAAAACCCATAATAGTAATAATGCTTTAGTGGGTTCAGGAGTTTTTCTTAGGGCAGTTTTTACCTAGAACGTGGAAGGCGCTCAGGCGGATTCAGAGGGGAGGTCCTGTTCACGGACAGT